TGATTTTGAAATAAGGATTAACCGAGAATTAATTGCCGTGGTCCGGTGCAATCGGTTTTTGTATAAGACCGAAAAATTATATGCCAACGCCAATGTGAAAACCGAAGCATGGAGACAAATCGGTGCAAGTCTTTAAGTCATTGTAGACACTCAGACGTAAAGAGACCCTAATCCTACAGCCTACTTCTAATGTCTACTTCTTAATCCACTACTGCTACTGCCCATTGTAGACCACGCATTATAGCTCTACTACCACTATTGCTACTGCTCATTGTAGACGGCCTTTACCCCGGATCTACAATAAGGTTTTAAGCTTTAAGCCATAAGAAATGGACGAATCATAGTCGATTATTCTTCTTGAATAATCGACTGTAATTCGCCTGTTTCTTATGGCTTAAGGCTTAAAACGCTATTGTAGATCCGGGGTAAAGCAAGGTTGTGGACCGAGACTAAAGGTGCATTCACATGTAAACGTCAAGCATCAAGCAGCGGAAGCAGTAACCAATCACCTGGGCGATACGGGCAGTGGTGTAAAAAATATTTTTTACGCCACTGTAAAAATCGCCTCGTTGATTGGTTGCTGCTTCCACTGCTTGATGCTTAACGCTTGCACGTGAATGCATCTTAAGTCATAAGACAGTTCTTGTGTGTAAGCCCGGATCTACAATAGATTTTTAAGCCTTAAGTCATAAGAAATGGACGAATCACAATCGATTATTCTCCTTGATTGTAAGCACAGTATATACAGTAGCGCAATTCTCTGTCGGCACCTTTGATGTCAGCGTGGATAAAAATGAACTGGACATGCGCGAGCGAGGTATGTAACCAATCAAGGCATTGATATTCCATCTCATCTCTTCTCTCTGTTGTAACCTTTTCTCTTTTTTTACTTTATTGCATAAGGTCTGTTCTTTTTCCACTATAAGTTCTGAACTGGTGTACACTGATGCAATAAGTTCAGAACCTTCGAAAAATAACAGACCTACACAATATACATTATATTTAAAACAGAAAATAAAATAGAAATAAAACATGATAGATATACTATTCTTGAGGCTTTCACGGGTGTTACCTATGTGACAATCTTGAGTTTCGCGGGTTTCCTCCGTGTTTAGATCCATTCTTGGAATGCCAACGTTTCGTGAACTGCAAGGTTCACGAAACGTTGGCATTCCTCATGATAGATATACATTTATTTCTCAGGAAATATAAGGAGATTCATACTTATACTTAACCTTTTTTTATTTGCAATGATAGAGTTACAAAATATAAACACAATAAAAGAACTAATAATAATATAACAATCCGTTTTATTTTAACTGATCGATATTACTTAATCTCCAATTTGAAATATTCTTTACTGTTAAAAAAACGATGTTAAATTTATTTTTTAATTTCTTTTTATATTTGTCAGATAAAATCCAGTTATTCGACTAATTCAAGTTACTATATCTCAAATCACAACAATATTAAACCTGTTACATGTTATTTTAAAAAACGAATAAAAAATGACTGCGTTCAGCGTTTATTTCGCAAATGTTGGAAGTTTTCTTTGTGCTGATTGTATTATACTTTTAGATCTAGAGGATTGGTGTATTCTATCTTAGCACACAGACAATCATAAAAATGGTTTCAAAACTGTTGTGTTCCGCTGAAACGTACCTATTATGTTAACTAATTGATAATGGGTGCATTCAATACTACAACCGTTCACTGAGCGCTCAGTGAGCGCTTGCATCTTATTGGGATATTCCGTTAGAACTAAAAATATAGACCAAACAGATACAAGAGCTCACTGAGTGCTCAGTGAGCGATCGTGATACTGAATGCACCCATTGGCTGCATTCAACAGAGAAAACTAATCAGTTATAATTAATCAAAACTGTCACTTTCCATTAAATGGCTATTTAAATCCCTTATATGGACATTTCAACAGCGCAGACAGACAGCGACAATAAAGAGAAGAAGCGAGATGGAATATAAGTGCCCTGATTGGTTACATACCTCGCTCGCGCATGTGCAGTTCATTTTTATCCACGGTAAAATCGTGAGAGTTGCGCTACTGTATATACTGTGCTGTAAGTCCGAGTGTACAACAGGTGTTTTAAAACTTAAGCCGTAACAAACTGACCAATTACAGTCGAATCCGAGGAGAATAATCGACTGTGATTCGCCCATTTCTTATGGCTTAAGGCTTAAAACTCTATTGTAGATCCGAACTTACTAAGGACATAAGACTTAAGTCATAAAACACTGTCTTAAGATTATAAGTCATAAATCTTAGGGCCTTCTACAATAAGTCATTAGTCATAAATCAGAAGTCAGAAACTAAAAATTGACGACTGTGATTAGTCAATTTTCAGTTTCTAACTTTTGATTTATGACTAATGGCTTATTGTAGAATGCCTGTCAGCCTTTCTGCTAAGTCTGGATCTATAATAGATGTTTTACCTTAAGCCGTAAGAAATTGATCAATTAGAATTGAATGTCAGGAGAATAATTCACTATGATTCGTCCATTTCTTATGGCTTAAAGCTTAAAAATCCATTGGAGATTCGGGCTAAGGGTTACCACAGACAAAATTATGAGACGTAATGAGCTTTCTATAATAAGTCATTACCTAATCTTTAAATTTTAAGTCATAAGAAATTGATCAATTATAGTCGATTATTCTTTTCACCAGGCCTGAATTAAGGGGGGCATGGGGGCTAAGGGGACTATAGGCTCAGGCTCCATCTTGTTAGAAGGCCTCTTAGTCTCAGCTTAAAATGGTATTTCATTGATAAAAGTAAATAATCGAATGCAAATAAATAATTAAAAATGTTGATTTTGCATTCCTCGTAAAATAAAACACAATTTTCACACATGATCCACAATGACTGATACTAGACTATCGTCATTGACATTATTAGCAAAGAGAGCGAACTACTGACAAATCTTGATTTTAATGATTTAATCAATGAATTTGTGTACAATAAATCAAGGAAAAACCTTTGTAAGTACCACTAAAATGTCAATAAAATGTGAATAAAATTATTCACATTTATTCACAATTATTCACAGTAAAATGTCAATAAAATTATCTTTATGTTTCTTTTTCAGCATCCAGAATTGTATTGTATCTCTTAAGCAGAAACCACAAAAGTCGTTATACGACTCACATTTCTTAAATAGAAAATGCAAAATACGTTTATATTTTATTATCATTATTATCAATAAAAATTTTGGTAATTATCCAGAAAAACTGTCTCATCTCCGATTTCGATGAAGGCTCATTCGACGCATTTTTGCACAAAATGAAAGAATCTGACAGAAAAAAGTGTGAGACTGTCCTGCGGGCTGCGAAGCGAGATAGTTGACGACTATCGAGGTTAGGAAATCTATCACAGCTGCGAAATACTACGACGAAAGCATGTGCTGCGGTCACATTTTCATGCTCTATAGCCCGTATTCAGAACGCGCTTACGATGTTAGCGCGCTAACATACTATATTATTTTACGTCACGCATATTATAGAATTTCAGAGATAAAAGCGCGTTCTGAATACGGGCCTATGGCTACATGTGCATACATTATACTAGAACACTAAAGATATAGGTATTCCTATCCGCCTTTTTCTTGCCAAATCAGTGCCACTACAGCGAGTGTTACTACAGCGAGTGTTATAATGCTGATCGAAAGTCGCCACATTTAATCCAAAAAGTATATATTTTTCCATTTAAAAAAAAAAGACATTCACACAAACACGAAAATAATTAATTTCTGTGTCAGAATAGAAATTTGTTCTTTTTATCTGCAAATATTTATGTCTCAGAAAGATAACCCTCAAGACGTTATTTTCTTGTTGCAGAAATAAATCGTATATGGGCATAAGTATTCGCATTTAAAAAATGCCTGGCTGTGCCGCAGTTAATTGCAATAATCGGGTTGAAAAGGGCTATAAGCTCTTCTCGTTCCCGAAGGATAAACGTGGGACAAAATGGGTTGACGATATGCGACGAGATAAGTGGACACCGACCACCTCTTCGCGATTGTGTGAGGTAAGTATCAAAATAAGGATATAATTTTTTTTATCATATCACACAATGGCCTAATACTCAACGCTAATAATATTTTTTTGTTTGTTTCAAGGTACATTTTGAAGATTCCCAATTCGAAGCCCACCGCATTGATGGCTGGAGAAAACTTAAACCGAATGCAGTCCCAACGCTTTTCGATGTGCCCAACCCTCCGCCACGAATCAACCCACCTAGACGAAAATCACTGTACAAGATTACTTTCGACAAAAATTAACCACATTATTTTAACCTATCACTGTCAAGATTAATATTTTTCGCTCCTTTCAGAATCGTGATGAAAACGCAACGCCTGCTCAAATAGCAATAGTCGATAGTTTTGATCGATCGGTGCTTCAAGAATTGGTAATTTTTTCAAACCGCAATACTATATATTAATGGAAGAAGATTGAATTGCACGATCCAGAATCTTAATCGTCTGAATTTTTCTATTGCAGAATTCGGTTAACCAAGAGAAAGCTACTTAGGAGTGTGGCAAGACTCCTCAGTAGCTTTCTCTTGGTTAACCGAATTCTGCAATAGAAAAATTCAGACGATTAAGATTCTGGATCGTGCAATTCAATCTTTATAATTATTTATAATTATTTTGCAAGCAACAAATTGCTAAATTGCATATTTCGAGAGCAACAAATCCTTCGGACGACATCGCAGTACCAATTTTAAGCGAGCAACAAATCTTTTACTAGTACTTTACTCTTGTTTCGCCAGTACGCTGAGGTTTTTCGTAATTATTTATACTTATTTTGCAAGCGATAAATTGCTAAATTGCATATTTCGAGAGCAACAAATTCGGACGACATCCTAGTACCAATTTTAAGCGAGCAACAAATCTTTTACTAGTACTTTACTCTTGTTCCACCAGTACGCTGAGGTTTTTCGTAATTATTTATACTTATTTTGCAAGCGACAAATTGCTATAATAAATTGCATATTTTGAGAGCAACAAATTCGGACGGCATCCTAGTACCAATTTTAAGCGAGCAACAAATCTTTTACTGATACTTTACTCTTGTTCCGCCAGCACACTGAGATTTTACGTGGTTATTTATACTTATTTTGCGAGCAACAAATTGTTAAATTGCATATTTCGAGAGCAACTAATTCGGACGACATCGCAGTATCAATTTTAAGCGAGCAACAAGTCTTTTACTGGTACTTTACTCTTCTTCCGCCCGCACGCTGAGGCTTCTCGTTGTTATTTACACTTTTTTAGTATGTAAAGTATTTAAAAAAGTTATTTCGGCAGCAACAAATTAGCAACAAATTAGCAACAAATTCCTAAGTTATTTCTGCGTAGATTGGCTTTGTTGTAGGTATTGTTCCGCTAACTGAATCTTCCTTTTTAGCGAAACATCGTTTTTTTAAATAAACCGACAGAGCAACAAATTTTTTTCTTTGGCAACTTTTTAGCAACAAATGAGCAACAAATAAAAATGTTAGTTAGAATCGATTCCGCTCACTTTGTTCTGCTAACTTATAAGACGTAAATTTTTGACCTATCGTGAATTTGATTTTCGATGGTAGGGGATGCAGGTTAATGGAGGTGTTGATTTCCTTACTGTTTAATGGGGGTGAAACCAACTACATCGTTTACAATGAATATTAGCAGTAGAGACTGTAAATATGTCGGGAGTAGCTGGTTTTCCAGCTAAACCATTAATGGTTAGTCGGTGAACGTCAAGTCAATGTTGATTCAACGTCGCTCGACGTCAAGTCAATGTTAATTCAACATCGATTGACGTTAATTCTATATTGATCGATCATTCACTTGTAGCTAGGGATGTAAGAGAGCGTAGAGTAAGTCCGTAAGCGAAATGGTTGAAATCCATTAATCGACGTTGAATCAACATCGATTTAACGTTCATCGACTAACCATTAATGGCTTAGTTGGAAAACCAACTTTCTCCCGATATGTTTACAGTCTCTATTGCTACTGTTCATTGTAGACGACGCAAACATGTTGGATTCGCTACTACTTACGTTTTACTGCTTAAGTTTTTTGTGTGCCATGGCACTTATCATATGTCAACACAGGTTCATAACCTCACTTTGAAATGAGTTTACGAAAGCACACGGTCTCGATCTCTTGTGCAGATTATAAGTAAAAATTCAGTTGAATCTCACTTATCAGAATGCAAAAGGAACGCACATTCAACTGAGTAATGACGTCTATATAGTTTAATAAGTGAGAATTATCTGAGAATCAGTGCAAATGGAAAGCAACTATTAATTTGTTTATTCAAATCGTCTCCTTTTCGGACGCCCGGGGTCGGAGGAGGAGGAAGAGGAGGAGAGAGAGGGGACGGAACCCTCCATAATCACTAAGTACAGACGGTGACAGATATATATGTGCGAAGGGTTCTAATCCTGCTTCCCTTCCCCTCTCTCGTAAAACCAGTTATTTTCTTTTTAATTAAATCTTGCTTTGCGTACAAACTTTGAAACCTGTATCAAACCACGCTTCCTAACCAGAATAGTCGTCAACTTTAACGATTAACAATTCTTAATATTGATACAGGCTTCGACGAATAAATCCAAGGATAAATGTGAAATCAGTCAATGCGAGCCAACATAGGTTAGACGTGTGTAAATTCATATATTTAATCTTGAAAAGAATTACAGACGTTTCTACTCTTTCGATTGAGTCTTCTTCAGTGTATTAATGACAAAATCCATTCGTATAATTAAATATGAGAGATAGAATACAATAGAATTGGAATATCGTTAACATCGTTAACATACATTCATAATATGATTTCAATGTTGTCTGTCTAACAGAATACTCAAATCATTTCAAATTATCTATAATTTAATAATAGTTTCGAATAAGTTATTAGATTATAAGTAAAATTAGTTAAAAAACTTACGTAATAATGTTAACAATGATCTGTTAAATAAAACGTATTAGCACCAAGAGGTTGAGAGTATGTGAAAGGTCAAAACCGATTATTGGTGGTCATAAGTAATATAACGGGTATAAATAATAATAAGTAAATAAATACAAACATGTATAAATTACAATAACATAAGGAAATAAAATATGGAAATGTCAAACTTTTTTAAATAGATCATAATATAATAAAAGTCTAATAATTGTGTCCTCCTGCACATTTAGTCCGTTCTTTGTTTTTTAATAAAAATTGATTATGAAATAAGGCGTTTGTTATAATTCTAACGATTAATATCTCGGTTCGCAAAATAGAGCGACGCTTTTTTTACTAGATTCTTTCATGCAAATACGTGTCGGATAAGCCCAATTTTATTTTTGAGCTACGGGGGCTGTATAATTACCAAATTTTTTTGCTGCCGAATGTGTGTGTGTGCTTGCGCACGCGTGCGACACGCACACACACACGTGACACTAAAAGAAAATAGAATGCTTGTCCACATAATTGTCCGAATATTGCATTACATAACCACGTTGTGAGATTAATAAGTTGCTCAGATTACAAAAATAAGAAATCTCGCGTTTTACTGATCGTTGAAGAAATCGAGATACACTCACCGGCATAGAACGGCTTCTTGTTGTATATATTTGAGGTAGACGGCATCGCGAAACCGATTGACATAAGTACTATTTCTGTCGAATACTTCGACAGCACACTGGGTTCATAGTTGGGATCTGGCTTCAGCAGATCAAGAGCCCATTGAACCTCCGGATGTTCACTCAACTCGTGTGAATGATGTTTACTCATCTTTTTCTTTTTGTGACAAGAATTGCTACCCAAGTGTTAAAATCAACAAATTAGGAGCACGGCGCTCTACTCAGAATATGTAATCAGAATGAATGGGTAGCAGACTGCACACAGCGAAAAATTAACGAAACTATAAAAATCACAATGGCAGATTTTATGCGAGCAAGCGAGCTTCGTTGATCGCAGCGACATCTGATAAAAAAAGTGTGGAAACTGCGGCCCGGGAGACAAGGAAGGTAAGCAAATACTGGGTGCGTTCAGCAGAACGTTTGTTTTGCAACTGTTGGAAGTTTCCTTCGCTCTGATTGGATCATACTTTTAGATCTAGAAGAATGGTCCTATCTCAGCAGACAATCATAAAACGGTTGCAAAACTGTTGCGTCTGCTGAACGCAGCCACTGGCAGAGACAAACCAAAGGCTTGTTCGCATCGCATCCAACATGTTCCAATGGCTGCATTCAGCAGAGAAAACTAATCAGTTAAGCCTGATTTATAATGGCCGTAACCGTTAATTTATGCCGATGTCGGTAAAGTTCAACCATAGGATTTTAATGCTTTCGTTCATACTAGAGTCCTAGATTTATCAGAGAGACGCAACCGGTGTTACGCATTCTAATTCGCTGTTGCAATCACATGACTTGGCAACTATTTATAGTACTAATGACATATTTCTATTTCATTTTATCTATACATTCTATCTTACTCTATCTCATTCTTGCTCTTGAACAGTATCCATGCTGATTAAATTGTAATTACTGATATTATACAGAAAGCCT